CTGTTTCATTCCTATTATCCTCTTTCTAACTTGTATTTTAAAATATTTTTGCTTAGAGATTAAAGCTTCTCTTCCTTTTTTCATTGCCCTTTCTTTTTTTTTGGGACGTTTCTTCTTTCTGTTAATCTCCGACTAGTTTCAGTTCTCTTTCTGTTTTATGCTTATTTTATTGTTCTAACTCCCTGTTTGCTTTTTTTGCCCACTAACTTTGTTGTATATTTTTAACACACATCTTGTGTAATGAAAATATTAGAGAAACACAAATCTTTATATTCAAACTTCATTGCTGGAGCCATTTGCCTGGATAAAGGCTGTGTCCAGAATAGTTATATTTTTAGAGCTGGATGGAGAATGAATGAAATCTTGGCTCTGAAACGGTCATTTGGAAAGCACCAGGATCAAATGTATCATTTGTGTTAACAAAGAAAAAATGTAATCTATATTGCAAATAACTTTGCTTTTCTGTCATTGTCTTGAACTGATGTTCAGGCAGTAATGGCACCTGGATAAATGTGCTGTGTTAATTAATTAAACCATGATTATTAACTGTGGTAATTGTATCTTATTTGTAAAACACAGTTTTTGACCTGAGACTAGAACTAAAATCCTGGCTGTTTGTATGAATTACTGCAAGAACACCAGTGATTATGAATTTTTTTTTTTTTTTTTTTAAGATTTTGCTTACAATTATGTTTTAGCTAGAAGACACAGAGAACATTAGTAGAAAGCTTAAAAATAGAAGACTTGGAGCTGAGGTTTTGAAAGTAGATTATTTTCTTTCCTCTGAGCAGACAGAGAATACCACTTCAGTATTCCGCCTATCTCTATTTCTCTTTGCCTCTCATTTAAAGTGCAGCAGCAGTGCAGGGTTCTGTATTTCCTCTACCCATTCTGATGTTCCCCATAAAGCTACCTCTGCTGTTTCGTTTTTAGTAGTATTGTTTGTTATAGCTGCAGAACTATTTCTGAGACCCGGGTCATGAGAGGCAACAAATGTTAAGTTTAGCTCTGAAATGTGAATGCTTTAGGATCTGGCTGATCTGCGGGATGACAAACAGTAAACTGCAAATCCTCATCCAAAATACATTGAGGGGATTTGCACTTAGTGGAGCACAAGAATGTGAAGGTGGGACACTGCTGGGAGTAGGGCTAGTGTTTATATGTGAAGAACACCCCAGTTGCTGACTGGATCCAGCCTGGGATGCTCACTAAGTCTAGACACTCTGCCAGGGCTGTGGGAGCAGGGTGAGGCTTTCCCTGCTCTTTGGGACGTTGGGTCTTACTGCCCTGGGAATGAGGACCTGGCTGAAAGTCCAGAGAAAAAAAAGGCTGCTGCTCTCTCGATCCCTTTATTTTAGCTCCTGTGTTATAGAAGCTACCCAAACCACTTGCTGTTAGAATGAGAAAAATTAATGATTCCCATCCTGTGTAAAATCTAGGCTACCTGCTGTGCTTAAGACAGAGAGAGACAGAAAATCTTTTCACCTATGTAACATTCAGAAAATGACAAGTTTTTGGAAACCTGGTGATCTTGTTCTAATCTTCTTCCCTCTAATTTTTGCTAGCAAAAGGACACAAAAATCAGTGTCATGGTATTTTTCATGCTGTCTGCAGAAGAGTCATTCTTTATCCTGGCTTTCATCTCACATATCCAACCTTTCTCTGCCATGCAGTCATTAGGGTGTTGTCATCCATTTCTTTATATCCTGTAAGTCACTGAATTAGATCATGTCCTGCCCCCTAGAAAAAGCTACCAGAGTCATACAGGCATATGCAATTGAGAGTGAAACCAAGAGTGAAAAATCCAATGACTATGAGAATTACAGTCACCTCTGCTCTGAAAAACAAATGTAGAACCAAACTCTCCTCCACATTGACATACATCACTTCTACTAGGCCAACTCTATGAAACTCATTGGAGAAAAGGGTTGTGAACGGCAACACAAAGTCCAGCTGGAGGTGGATGAGTCACTAGTGGAATATCCCAGGAGTGGATACTAGGGGTAATCCTATTTAATATCTTCATTAGTCACTTGGATAATGGGGTAGAGTGCACCTTCTGCAGGTTTTCAAATGATATGGAACTGGGAGGAGTGGCTGGTACAGTTGGTAGGAGTGCTGTCGTTTAGAGAGGTCTGGACAGGCTGGAGAAACGGACAGACAAGACTCTTACAAAGGGACTTGTAAAGTCCTGCACCTGGGGAGAGTAATTCCCGGCATCAATACATGCTGAGGATCAAACAGCTGAAAAGGAGCTTGTCAGAAAGGGAGCTGGGGGCCCTGATAGACGACAAGCTGAACATGAGCCTGCAATGTGCTCTTGCAGCTAAGACAACCAAGAGCATCCAGGGCTGCACTAGGACGAGTGTTGCCAGCAGATCATGGGAAGTGATCCTTCCCCTCTACTCTGCACTGGCGAGACACATCTGGAGTGCTGTGTCCAGTTCTGGGGCTCCCAGTACAAGAGAAACATGGACATACTGAAGCAAGCCCAATGAAGGGCGATGGAGATCAGTAAGTGTGGAGCATCCAGGCTCAAAAGGGTGGCTGAAAGAGCTGGGACTGGTCAACCTTGAGAGAAGGCCGCCCAGGGGATCTTGTCAATATGTATAAATGACTGATTGGAAGAGTCATGAAGAGGGAGTCAGACTCTTCTCAGTGCTGTCCTATGAAGGGAAAAGAGTCAAGGGGCAGAATTAAGTAAGAGGAAACTTTTTTACTCTGAGAATGGTCAAATATTGGAACAGGTTGCTCAGAGAGGTTGTATAGTCCCCATCCTTATAGGTATTTAAAACTTAGCTGGATGTGATTCTGAACAACCTGCTGTAGGTGACCTCTCTGTGGGCAGGAGGGTTGGACTAGACAATATCCAAAGGTGCCTTCCAACCTCAGCCATTCTATGATGCTGTAAGAAAGGAATACGAAACCTCTCTCAAGCCCTCAGATGCCAGTGACAGAGGCACACGATATGATACTGTAACTGAGACCTGCCTGTACTTACTTTTGTGAGCACAGTGGTTGAATATGGGAGCTAGGCTGTTCCGTACAGGAGTGAGATTTGTTATTTTGGGTTGGTCTATGGACATCTGTTGAAAATTTTTACCTGTGAAAGAAAAAGATAATCTCTTACCATATGAAAATAATTGTAAATAATACAGTGCACTGTAGGTCTCTGGCTTCTAGAGAAAAAAAACTTATTTAGTAATTCTTAGAAATATGTAATAATAAGAAACTACCGACTGAAAAAAGCTGTAGCTTTGTTATCTTTACATTCATTAAAAAGAGTGACTGATTAAAGTTAACTTTCATCTAGTCCTATTAAAATGACAATACGTTAGATGATGTAATGCATTTCACTACCTAAATGACACACTTTATTAAAATTTATTATTGTTATTATATTATTAAATTTATACTTTATTAAAAAAGTAGAAACTCAAGCACCAAATCAACATTTTCCCCAGATCCTTTGCCTGAGTTGAACTTATTCTGTGATGTTTGAGTCCCTCAAATTTTTCTTTTTTGTTATGCCCAGATCTGAGATGAGCCTTGTAAGGAGTTTTGGGTTGTCTTGCCAAACAGCTGCTCATGTAGCATGGCATTGCAACATAGCTTATTGCAGAGACACAGACTGGATGTAGTAGGATATCTTAAGCAATAGGAAGAAATGGAATGATATACACTGCGTTCATGGCTTTGTAGTTGGTACTTGAAAATACTTATGTATTGCTGGGCTGTGCAAGATAAAGCTATAGGAAAGGAGTCGTAGAACAGTTTCCTAGAGGCGCACTGAAGTAGTTATCAAGACGACTCTATGTTACTGACTAAATGGATTCTGTGTGAAAGGAGCTAAAGTGATGTTTATTAGACAAGCCTCCATGTTATAGAGCAGCCTTCAGCTGCATGGAGCAAGATTCTGGTCCAAAGACCACAGCAGCTGATAGGCATTGGATCAATCATCTACCAGATCCTGTGGGTAAAGCTGATGTGTATTGGACTAAAGCACGAAGAATGTCTTATGGATGAGCTGTGTCTAATAGAAACAGGTTTTGATTTCCTTTTCCCATATTTTACTCTTTCTTCAGTCTTTAACGCTTCTCCAGGATCACCAAAAAGTGGATGTAAAAGTTGGTAAATTTCTTCTATAGACATCACATCCACTGTGCACATAGAGATAAACATATCAGTTCCTAAATAGCAGAAAATCAAGCCTGCTGCTCCCATTAGTGCGATTTGAATTATAATGGTTTCAGTGATGCTTATGCTGAGAACTAATGGCTTATTATGTATGTACCATTACGGCTTAGATGATGTGAGGTTGTTTTTTCTACCAAGAGATTTATTTATTTCATAAATGGGGATATCTGGCAGCAAAACAACTGTACAAAGCATAATCATGTTTGCAAGGCTGATATGAATGCTTGGAAAAGAATCCTTGCTGTCTAAAAGTTCTGGCAACAATTGGAAATATTCTTCTGCTCTTCCTTTCTGTCTGCTCCACATATCATCAGAGAAAAAAGTTTTTCCTTTTTAAAAACATAATCTTTGTCATCCCCAAGAGCATATTTATGATGGCATTTATTTTTGAATTAAATGGAAAGGAGGAAATTTCATTATTATAAAATACAGGACTGTTCTGCGTTTCATTTTGTTTACTGACACTTTTTACAGGTTGTTCTTTGATTTTTCTTTGCATTTAGGTAGGTGAACCACATCATGATATGTTTTGTGGAAAAGCTGTAAATGTTATGATGAGTGTCCCAGTGTAAATCAGTCCTTCCATTTGAGAAACAAACAGTCACACTAATCAGCTCACTCTACTCTTTCCTGGCCAAGAAGTGCCATTTTTTACATTATCTGTTCAGGCAAATAGAAGGTACCGAGCTGCTGTAATAAAACCTGTAATATATTCTTGCCTTAGACCTAGAAGGTTAGTAATCTAAAAGATGAGCGGGTGATAGGAGGAGGCTCCAGCTGGTTAGAGGGTGCTCAGAGCTGCCTTACATTTGAGACAGGCTTCCTTTTACCCATATCACTTGGAATTTCTCTACTTACACTATTTTCCCTGTGGAAAGTAGATGGCAATACATTTTTCAAAAAGAGATGATTGCAAAGCTCATAAATACAAAAATGCTTCAGATTGTGGATGCCAGCTCAGCACTGCGGCTGGCAAGCACTCTTCAATGTTCACGGTAGTTTTTGGTATAGTCTACCTTTGCTCTCCCCAGTGAAGGGCGAGACAAAGTGGTTATTCTGAAAGAAACCCGTGGCATGATAGTAAGGTAAGTCTCATTGCTACCCACAGCAACCTCTCCCCTTTGTGTAAGTGCTGTGGCTCAGCTAGTAAATTGACTCATCTTTCATTTCTAGGAGCACAGAAAACAGAACAAAGAACCTCCAAAAATCCCAATCTATGTGCCAGCTGCCTTAGTAACAGTAAGCACAGAAGTTAGCTCTGACTTTAACAAAAAGCATGGTCATGCAAGACAATCAACACTGTGTGTCAGCTGAGAAAATAATTGCGTTCTCTTAGATTATTAGATACCCGTAATCCTGCCCTGGCTATTCAGTGATTAGGAAATTACATGTAGCCCCACAGTCATGATTTGAGAAATGGAGTCCTTCAGTCTCTTTCAAAGACTACATGTTGTTTTTTCCCTCAGCTAGGCCTCCTGCAGAAAAAAAAAAAAAATGATGAGGAAATGTCTTTCCTGAGAGAGGGCTGCCTGTGCAGCGCTGCTGGCTGGGCTGGAGCCAGGCTCGCTCCACTTCTGATCCCTGTAAGTCCTGCAAGCACAGTGCGCTGGAGACCTGGAAGCCCTGCAGCTCATACAGTAAATGCAGTTCTACTTCACAGCAAGTCAGGTGGCTTTAATTACAGGGGCAGACAGATTTAAACCACACACATAGGCGTGAAGAGGGATAAGCAGATCTTTTTATCGGGAAGAAATGTTAGACAGCGTCTGGGTTGTGCAATGTATTCCTGTCAGACATTCTCTGCCTCCTTACAAGCTTTTAATTCATATGCTTCAGTGGAAGTCCTTTTCGCCAGCTACAGGAATCTTTTTATCGTTGGAAAGTTTTGTTAAAGGGAGCTAGTACACAGAGAACTGGGCTTAAAGCAGACTCAGACTTTTTTTTTTCTCCAAGGGAGATAAAATTACTTGCTCTTCCTTTGGACATGCGAAGACAGCTCCCATTGTAACAGTTAGATTTCCCATAATTGATAAGATTTTTCCCTCATTCATGCATGTAGACTGCTGGTCCTATATTGAGTCCCTACAGATCGTGGAGAACTGAGTGGATGCACAGAGTCCGTCCTGATTCAACAAGTTGTAGCTTTTTGTCATAGGACGTTCGTAGAAAACCACCTGTCCTTCTGCCCAGAGCAAACAAGGATTTAAACATACAGTATTCTACAGTCTTAAGAAAAATCTATAATCACATTTTAAATAACGTGGTAGTTATGTCCGCATCAAATGTGTTTCTAGTCAAGCTAATTCCACCAGGAAATGTTTCCCCATAGTTGTCCTCAGGTTTGGTTTATCCAGTTAGAGTTCATTGCTCCGCCTACTGCCAACATGAATGAACTCAGATGTCTCAGCCCCACTATACCCTATTATATTCAGGTTGCAAAGAACTCTGCAGGTTTTCTTGTCTTCCACACGTGAGCCGAACCTCGCAGAGTTCAGTGTAGAAAGACTCGTGCTGGAGCAATCCTTGCTAGCCATGTCGAGTCTGGGGTTTGTAGGGTTGAGTGAATAGCTGAAGAGTGCACAGTAAAAAAGTAGTGACAGCTATAGACCAGGTCTATCAAGCTTTCAGGAATGTGGCCTGATGTTCAGGAAGTGGAACTTTTTGAATAGCTCCTTTTACCCTGAAAAACTATTTCCAGCCCTTATTTGCGCAATGCACAATGACCTGTCATTCTGAAATTGCTGTCTCTGCTCTCATTATTAGAGCTGTGAACAAAGATTTGCAGTTTTTAGATCCCTTCACTTAGGAATCAGTACAGTTTGCACTATCATGCAAGCTCAGATAGTGACCTGACCTAACTGAGAGTTCTCCTCAGACAGGGTTTCTGTTCACTCCTCTTTCCACTGAGGATAACTGCTGATGTCTTTTGGGGTGAGGGTAGATTAACTTATTGTGTAATGTTTACTCCTTGTAATGGGGTACTGGTAAGTTTAAGGATTGCTTTTGCTTGCTTCATTTTCAGTTGGATATTGCAGCATTGGAAGGCATGCTAGATGTGTTTAATTTTGGCATGGGACTAATCCCAAAGGAGATGAAGTTGGAGACGCTGATATGTTGAAGTAAACTCCAGCACACAGGCCAGCCAGCCAGATTCATTTAAACATGGATGTGAGTCAAACAAAGTACTAGATCCCAAATCCTGCCAAACCCTTGTTTTGAGTTTACTTCAGAATTCTGATGCTTTGCTTCATTACTGTTGCATTACAGTTTCCAAACCACAACATAAAAGCATTTACTCCGTCTCTGTAAATTTAGCAACCTGAATTCAGCTTCGGAGGAACTGTTAAGAAGAGCACATTAGACCAAAGTGCTGGCACTCAGGGTGGGAGGAGTCGGAAGGGGTGACACTACAGCCTGGAGTCAGAGTATGTTTATAAAGGGAAATGGCATGATGCAGAGCCGTCCAGCATGGCACATGTGGACTTAACTGGTTGGGTGCAACCAGGCTGTCAGCACAGGCAGAAATTTGAGTGCAGTACTGTTCCCTTGCACATCTAGTTCCAGGACTAAGCATGGACACAAGGCAGCAGCCATGGCAGTGGGTGTTAACATGCAATTCACAAAGCACATGTATGATCTGGAGGCACTTACCTTGCTCAGGTACCTTACATACTCCTAACTACCTGCATTTTTGCTTGCACATCAGACCTACTTAAATCTCGTATTTCCCACACCTAAGCACCTTGCTTCAGCTCTCAGCTGATGTCCTGTCCATACGCTATCTGTGATTGCTACTACATACAGGGAAAAGAAACTGAGAAAGATATTAAAGAAATAGAAATGTCATGGATTGGACTTACCTACTTTTTCTGACTCAGCTTGCCACATCAGTAGAGATTATAGGATTTTGGAGATAGAGAAGAAAGAAATTACCTGATGGAGAACTGGGAATTGAGGGAAGGCGGGGAGGGCACAAAAGCACATGGTGAGATCTATCAGAGTTTAAGCCATTTAGCAGTTTGTCTGAAGGAGTCCTAGTGCAAACTTTGTAGGAGAGTAGCTGGTTAGAGTCTATGTTCCAGGGATCATCCAACAAAGCCTGGCAGCTGCTTCTGTGGTCCAGCAAGTTGTGTTCACTCCTACTCTTTTGAGACTTATGTGCAAAATGGTGGGTGCTGGTGCTGGAGGAGAAGCTTGACGTTGTGCTCTGGGAGACAGTCAGAAAGGAATTGCCCACAGTGATTGGGGGGAGACTCTGGGTTCTGATGGGCAGAAGTCCCTGACACTCTGGTTGCTTCTTTTCCGGTATCAGGTACTTTGTGTCTGTGCTCCTTCTTTTAAAGTCGATGGTGGTCACACACTCATCTAGAATATCTTTGCAGCTTGTGTCCATAATGCAATCAAAAGTGGTGATGATGTCATCTACTTCTGAGGTCTCTTCTCTAGGGTATCGATCTCTGCTTTTCTCCTCCTGACTGTTTTTATGATCATTCTTCTTTTTGCAAGAGAAAATGTGGTTCAGCATACTGAATCGTCCTTCTTTCTTTAGGAGTCTGTTGTTCTGGGAGGTAAACTGATGAACCTGCTCAGATCTACTGGAAGTACAAATCAAAATGTGATGCGATTATTGCCAAATAATGAAAAAATACTGCCTATATTAGTCCATGAAACGAGGTATATACTGTTCAGATACATTTGCAGGGGTGGTTCAAGGAGACAGAAAATTAGCACTCCAAATTTGTAATTGGCAAAGACTGAAAATGATACCATGTTACTTCACTCTTTCTTACGGGGTTCATTGCCTTACACTTGTCTTAATGTAGGCTTAATGCAGCTATAAGGAAAAAACAAATTTTTCTGCCTTCAGCATCTACCAGCTGCAGGGTCATTATTCATAATAGTGAGGCAAGATGCAATAAAAACCAGAAAAATATGCTGAGATCTTTAAAACCGAGTGGTCTTTGCATTGTGTTATATTTGGAAAATGGTATTTCTAATAGGACAGTCATTGCTAGCACTCTAACAAAGGCACTAGTTCTCCATTCCTCCACTTCCCCTTCCCCTTCCCCTTCCCCTTCCCCTTCCCCTTCCCCTCCCTTTTCCCTTCCCCCCCCCCCTTCCCCTCCCCCTTCCCCTTCCCCTTCCCCTTCCCCTCCCTTTTCCCTTCCCCTGCCCTTGCCTTCCCTTGCCTTGCCTTGCCTGTACTAAAGAGGCTCGACACAGTTTCAGAAGATCTATCAAGGCAATTACCTACAGTAGTGTTGCTGTAGTGGTTTTTAGATGAGATTTTGACTAAACATTTCAGACCTACTCTGACACAGAGCACAGGAGGAGGAGGAGAGGTAATGATGTTACCCATGTCTCACAATTTCTAACACAGGAAATACTAACTGCTGACTGGAAAGCAGGGGAAAGCACAAAGAAATGTGATGATAAGTGTCTTCGTAAGTGCATGCTCATTTACCAAAGTTGAAGAACTGAAATTAATTAAATGACAGCTGCTGAAACATGAAGAATACAAAGAGAGAGAGAGGAAGATCATAAACAATGGTAGAAAAATATACTATTTAACAGAAAAAAAAATCAAAACAAGAAGAGACAATCAAGGTAAAGAACTAAAAAGGAAAACACTCACAAATCCTTACCCTGAGGATGAAAACTTGAAATTTATTTTATTATGTATCTTGCAAAGCTGCTTTTGTGTTCAGTCTGTCCCTCTGTCTGATTACATGAGCACACAGCTAGTGCATAGAAATTTCAAAAAAGTGGAAGGCATATATCTGAAGGCTGAAATTACGCTGTAAGGCAAATTTTCTGCACGAAGATGACTGAGCAAGAGTTATACTCACTTCTTGGTTCAGAACCCTCTGCTGATCGGCAGTCTAGCACTGTAACCACAGTGATGAGTCTTCAGTAGATGACTAATTCTAACGTTGCTATTTTGGTGGAAAACTTGAACTGAGCATTGTATATGAATCGAGGAGACATCACCCAGGGCTCAAACCCTTCAGTGGCATACAAAAAGCAATAAATTTGTTTTCTAGTCAGTAGCAACATGTGAGCAAGATGTGAACTTTTGCTTTACCTGCTCTCCTGAGACAGCAGCTTGATGCATGCTGTGTGCCCGCAGTATGTTGCATATATCAGAGGAGTGTTTTCATTGATGTCTCGAGGGCTACTGTCTATCCCCAGCTCTAGCAGTGTCTGCACACAGTCAGCTTTCCCTGCTGCTGCAGCCCAGTGCAAAGGTGTCCTACAGAAAAAGGGAGTATCATTGAAATAGATGAATACATTTACTATTGAAACTATTAATGATGTTATGAGGTGTGCTCCTATGCTACTCATCCAGATTCATGACATCCATTTTAAGGAATTCTCCAGCAACTTATCCCACATTGATGTAGCTGCCAGTAGTGCTAATAAGACCGTAGACTGGCATCTATCTGTGTGAACCTATTTAGGTGTAGAAAAAGCAGATATGGGTCTGCAGAATGCCTGTTCATGCTATATGATATCATCTCTCCCACTGCTGGAGTTGTAGAGTGGGAGGAGTGCCTGCAGTTTTCAGGGCAGCATTTTAAAAAAATCTTCGTAATGTCCGCTGCATAGGGACTAACTCCTCTCATCTTTACACCAAACATTGTTAGCAATGATTGGGTCAGGGCTCTCCATGAAGGTAATAGGGGAAGAAGTCTTCCCCAGATGAATGCGAAGGGTTGGATCTACCAGACTGTCATTGTCCCTTTGCCAGTTTCTGTGTTCTTTGATGGGCATAGTCTGGAGCAGATATAATTGTCTTGAATCTGTGTAGGAAAATCAAATTGATTTTCCGCTTGGAAGATTTGCATTTTGTCTTTGGAAACTTTTGTGCAGTTTCCGAGTTGTAATACTTTGCTCTTGTGAAAAATCTGAAAGCACAGAAAAAAAACGTGAGAAAACTGTGCAAGAATAAAATAGGACAAAAGAAGAATAAAAATTAATTTTATTAATTGACTTTTTGCTGCCTGTTTCTTTGCAGTCCCAGTGTTTTCAGATGGGTGCAGTCAGAAACACAATAGAATGGAAGTCTACTGTGTGTTTATAGTGAACAGCTTATCTATTCCCCTCTTCAAGTGTAATACCTTCTATGGAAATATCTGAGAATATGTAATAGGAGGTTGTGTCTTACTGAGCTCTTAAGTGTGGTTAAACTCCTCCCTTTGCCCTTCTTTCCATGGAAACACAGCCTTCTCAAGTAAATTTTTCTCGTGTTTAGAAATTTATCCAGAACCCTGTTGGTTTTATTTCTGTTCCATTTTATTGCACTTTTCCATGAAGAATGCTATTATTTTAAGTACCTGAAGACCTAAGCCAAGAAAACCTTGGCTTTTGCTCCACTAAGCTGGATAATCAATGCAGTTAGTTGATTCTGTTTGCATTAAATACATTTATGGGGAAAGTTCCAAGGGAGGTAGGTGTGAGGTGAAAAAGAGGAAAGAAGGTGACCCTTCTGCACTTATGGCATAAGGATTTGATACCAGAAGGAATCAAACGCCTTGTCAGAATGGAAGGTGAAGGTCTCTTGATCCTATAGGAATAGTATGTTAGCAGCTTACATGCAACAAGGGAACCTTGCCATTTCTTAAACACAAATAGCAGCAGGATCCCAGCTTCAAGTTATAGGTTCATGTTGTATTGTTTTGAAAAGAATGTTAACTTTTGATTGAAAGATCTTAAGTGCTGACGAAGTCCTTTCACACATAATCTTACCATTTCCTACCAGAAACACAAAGTTAAATCATATTCCTACTAGTCAGTTATGATACTAGATGGTGATACATGTAAGCTGGACTGCTTTGCAGTGTTTCTGAGAAAGCACAGTTCTCTGTAAGTGCAGTTCATTAACTAGGCTGTGGCCTGTGAAACAGGAAACACGATTATAGAATAAACAGAGCTACTCTCACGTTAATAGAAAGGAAGCAGCAATTTCAGTTTCAGAGTTTCCATGGTTACCTGTCATCCACATCAAGGGCCTGCAGGTTGCACTCCGGGACTTTAGCCAGCTCACTGATTATATCACTGTAGCCTGCAGCAGCAGCAATGTGCATACATGTTTTGCCATTCTCGTCATCGTAGTTTATTATTGATGGCCCCTGATAGTGATCCAGAATGATGGAACACAGAATTCTGTTGCCACTCTGGGAGGAAGTTCAAAGGAGAAATGTGTTTTACAATCGAGCTCCCACCAAACGACATTGTCTCTGCTAGAGAAGGCTAAGTGTAATAGTGGCATTCTGTTTTGGATGTACCAGACTCTTCAGGTATGAAAGCCAAAAGATTCCAATCTCCTGCTGAGGACTGGGTTTGCTTTATAAATTTCCTAGAACACTGGAAAAATAACAAATAATGTACCGCTGCAAATATGACCAAAAGTTACAGAGTGTAAATTACTTAACAGCTTTCTCAGAAACTTGAGGTTTTTTGCTGTTCTACTAAGCCAGAGTCCAGAAAGATATGAGCTTATATTTTCTCATAGAAATTTAAGATTGGAAAGGACCTCAAAACACCAACCCACTTCTGTAAGCCTGTCCAAATACACACAGAAAAGCCATGTCAAATATTTGCTGAAGTGGTTCTTGAAAACTTTCTTAGCTAGTTTGCTCTAGTGTTTCAGTGTCTTAATAGAAAGTTGACATTGCTCTCTAAGCTGCAAGTGAAACTGAACATTTTATATCCTCATTGGGTGGAAATAGAGAAAAAGAATTCATGATTTTTTAACAACATAGAAACACAAGGCTGGAAAGGTCTTTCTAGATCATCAAATTCAATCCCTGCAATCACTTGCAGCTATGTTACATCATCCCTTTCATAAACTTACTGTGTCCATTAAAAGCAATTAGTTTCCTTGTCCCCATGACTCTCAAAGGAAGGCAGTTCAAGAACTTGTTTGCTTTAATGATTAGTATCTCTAATTTCTATTCATGCTAATGGCTGATTTATGTCCCTTTTTTCCATGCCAGGATTGTTATTTAGATTAAATACTTCTTTTCTCTAACAGGTATTTGTTCTTCAGATGTATTTATAGACAATCATATCCCTTCTGAGCTGTTCTTTTGCGGCTCTAATCAATCAAAGTCTTTTAAGTTTTCCTTGGAAAATAACTATTTCTCTCGTCAATCTACTAACCCTTCTCCTTTTGTGTTTTAGTTGTGTATCCTTGGAGAGAGGTCATTAAAATCGTGCCTAGTCATACACAGACATTTTTGCCAGGTCTTTGTACAGTGACACTAGCTCTTCCTTATTTGTGTTAGAAATAACTCTTTTGGTATGTCAGAGAAGGGAATTTGCCTTATTCACAGCTGTGTCTCATCAGAAGCTCCCAGTCATTTTGTAATACCGCTTTATACCTCAGTAATTCTCTTCCATAGTCTTTTCCAAACATAGAGTTTCTAATTTCTGGAAGGACCTTCTGTTATTAGCAATGAAGTGCATGACTTAAACGTTTTATCCTATTCAATTTTGTCCAATCTGTATTATAGACTTGAAGGCAACCCAGCTTCCTCTGTATGATGTCCCCATTCTTTTCTCTTAATGTCTTCCAGTTTTTTCTTATTGGCAGATTTCACCAGAAAGCCCCTGTATTTTGTGCTAAGTTGTCACAAAAATATTAAGCAAGATTGATTTCGGGCCTTATCCCTGAAATTAATTTCCTTCCAGTTTCTATTCAACATTTAATTATTACTCTTCAGTTCTTGATTTTGAGATACAACTTCTTTTGCTTCTCGGTACTTTTGCCTACAATTTTATACAATGTTTATTTATTCTAAATATGTCTTTTAAAAAATAGATAGTAATCCATTGTATCTCAAGCCTCTTCTACACGCTTCTCTTCTCTGCTCTTGTGATACAATTCCTGTTACATTTTGCACCATTGACAGGGTACATTCCAGGTTCTTAGAACCTGCTGGTCTCAGAGCTTCTTAGTCCAGCTGAGTATTTCCTTAATTTATCAAACTATGTCTCTCTGAAATCAGGAATTTTGTTTTCTATGTTGTTTCATAGAATCATAGAATCATAGAATCGTTAGGGTTGGAAGGGACCTTCAAAGGTCATCTAGTCCAACCCCCCTGCAAGGAACAGGGATATCTCCAACTAGATCAGGTTGCTCAGGGCCTCATCCAACCGGGCCTTGAACGTCTCCAGGGATGGAGCATCCACCACCTCTCTGGGCAACCTGTTCCAGTGTTCTACAACTCTCATGGTAAAAAATTTTTTCCTAATATCCAACCTGAATCTACCTCCCTCTATTTTAAAACCATTACCCCTTGTCCTATCACAACTGGCCCTCCTGAACAGCCTCTCCCCATCTTTCTTGTAGGCCCCCTTGAGGTACTGGAAGACCGCTATAAGGTCACCTCGGAGCCTCCTCTTCTCCAGGCTGAACAGCCCCAACTCTTTCAGCCTGTCCTCATAGGAAAGGTGCTCCAGCCCTCTTATCATCTTTGTGGCCCTCCTCTGGACCCTCTCCAACTGGTCCATGTCCTTCTTATGTTGGGGGCTCCAGAACTGGACGCAAAGGTTTACTCACCTGTTTAATTTGAGGAATTTTTTGAGGTTTACTCACCTGTTTAATTTAGAGTCTACTCATGATCATGCAATCCAAGATTATTTTGGATGAACAGGCATTTTATAAGATCCTCACTAACTATGTTACAAATGTTACTAATTTATAGTTGTCAAAATGTCTAATGAAAAAAGAGTGTTGATCTTCATGTTCAGGAGTATCCAGGTCCTATGAATAATTGTTGGTTTTACTCTCCGATGCCTGTGCCAAATGTCAATGTCCTCCATACTAGCACAATTCTCAGCTACGTTTTTTGGCCACTAGCATCAGAGAAATCTCTAGTTACGTTCAGGGCTAACTGAATCTAGAAGTCTACTAGAAGTATACAGTAAACATCAATCTTTTACCATCCTTCTCCAAGTCAGATTTGATATAAAAAAATATTAACATGCAGTATCTTACAATTTCTATATTTGTGTTCTAGTGGCACTACTATTCCTCTAATTTTATACTGGCTTGCTAAGTCCAAATTTCACATCCTGCACCTACAGTTTCAGTCTCTCAATGTTCTTGCAAAACTCTTAGCGTTTGCATAAGAAATTTCCCACTGTTCTTACTGGCATTGTATACATTTACAGACTGTTCTGTCTCCCACCAATCTCCCACTTTCTAGACTAAACAAACCATTTCAACCTCTCTTCATCGGTCAGATTTTCAACGCACTTATCATATTTGGTGCTTGCTTTTGGCCTCTTTCCAGTTTGTCTACAGCCTTCTTCAACCATGGCACCTCAAACGACATAATTATCCAGCTGAGGCTTCTCTCCTGACATGGAAAATGACATTGCTACTTCCCCAAGCCCACATGTATCACACTTCTGTTAATATGTCCCAAAATTATGTTTATTTGGTTTTTTTTTAATCAACATCATAATTTAAACTCCTACTCACTTTGTAATCCGCTAGTCTACTAGGCTACTACTCTTCATTTTGTGCAAACAGCTTTAATTTTTCACAGTTCTGTGCATAGTGCTATTTTATTAATTTCAGTTCATTCCTACAATTTATCAAAATAATCCCATGAAGTGCATGCAGTCCTTCTAATTTAGTTCTAGCTGTGAATTATATATGTGTTCTGTATTTCATCACCTCATTATAGAACACATAAAAACATTCTTAAGACAAATCCCTGGTTGGACTGTCTGTGAGATGTTCATAGAATCATAGAATGATAGAATCATAGAATGGTTCGGGTTGGAAGGGACCTCAAAGATCATCTAGTTCCAACCCCCCTGCCATGGGCAGGGAAACCCTCCACTACACCAGGTTGCCCAAAGCTTCATCCAACCTGGCCTTGAACACTTGAACACTTCCAGGGATAGGGCATCCACGACTCCTCTGGGCAACCTGTTCCAGTGTCTCACCACCCTCAGAGGGAAGAATTTCTTCCTTATATCTAACCTAAATCTCCCCTCTTTCAGTTTAAAGCCATTGCCCCTTGTCTTATCACTACACGCCCTTGTAAAAAGTCCCTCTCCAGCTTTCCTGTAGGCCCCCTTTAAGTACTGGAAGGCTGCTATAAGATCATCCCGGAGCCTTCTCTTCTCCAGGCTGGACAGCCCCACCTCTCTCAGCCTGTCTTCATAGAAGAGGTGTTCCAGCCCTCGGATCATCTTTGTGGCCCTCCTCTGGACCTGCTCCAGCAGCTCCATGTCCTTCTTGTGTTGGGGACTCCAGAGCTGAATGCAGTACTGCAGGTGGGGTCTCCTGAGAGCAGAGTAGAGGGGCAGAATCACCTCCCTCGACCTGCTGGCCATGCTTCTTTGGATGCAGCTGAGGATATGGTTGGCTTTCTGGGCTGCCAGCGCACATTGCTGGCTCATGTTGAGCTTCTCATCCACCAGCACTCCCAAGTCCTTTTCCTCAGGGCTGCTCTCAATCCATTCTCCGCCCAGCCTGTACTTGGGATTGTCCCGACCCACATGCAGGACCTTGCACTTGGCCTTGTTGAACTTCATGAGGTTCTCACAGGTCCATCTCTCCAGCCTGTCAAGGTCCCTCTGGATGGCATCCCTTCCCTCCAGCGTGTCCACGACACCACACAACTTGGTGTCATCTGCAAACTTGCTGAGGGTGCACTCAATCCCACTGTCCATGTCACTGACAAAGATGTTAAACAGCACCGGCTTCAGTACTGACCCCTGAGGAACACCACTTGTCACTGGCCTCCACTTGGACATTGAACCGTTGACTGCGACTCTTTTGAGTCTCTGAAGGTTATTTGAACTGTCCTGAATGTGGCTGATAGAGAATACATGATGTGCGATATAAGTCCCTGGGTTGATTTTGATTGCATTGCTCCTTATTCTTCCCTACTGGGACATCTTATTTTTGGACTGAATTCTGTCCATTATAGCACGTTATGCTTATACAAATTGTGTCATTGACGTCATTTACTGTGATTAAAATTGCATCTACTGCATAAATCAGAAAGGGACCAAGAACTGAACTTCTTATGGTCATTCTATTCACCACCTCCTTAACAAGTTTTCTGTGCCATGTGATCAACTTTATGTTGAAAAGAAATACTTTTCCAGTATTTCTATGTTTTACTGCGTGGTATCGAACTGATTA